TGGCTCTAACTTATAAAATACAATTATCAAACCCCACTAAAACGATCAACACAAGTTTTTAAATAAAATCGTGAGTATTATAAAAAAAATAATTTATGTCAATCGTTTTTTCGGTGTTAGAAAATTGTGTTTAATGTTCAGAGCCGTTATGGGGGATGGTGAAAACTGTAAACCCCTCTGAGCCTTCCGTCATTTTAGCTTTTTAAATTTTTTTCCAGGGCTCTTTTGACGTTTTTGAACTGTATTCTGTGGATTTTAAACGCATAAAGTCCCGAGTCCTGATTATAATTTACTGTAAAACCTATCTAAAACGGAACCCCATCGACTGAACGGAAACGCTATTACGCGCGTGTTCGTGTATAGAACGGACACCGGAATTGAATTCCACTCCTGTAAGACGGAAATATTCTCTTCAGTCACAATATAATATTCATATAAAATGGAGTTCCGTTTTAGATTTTGTTTTCACCGTGTAACTATTGGTCGGATAGGACGGAATCATCGCCTGTGGCTATTATCCCTGCTACGCCCTCTCGTTTGTATTTTATTCGTAAATAGCGTAACAACGTAATCCGATAAGTCGTAATTATTTGTATTATTGTCCGATTCGTCTGTTCAGTCATTAGTTGAGGGGCTGGGTGCAAGAAGGCCATTTTCCAGAAGAACGTGTTTTGAGATAAACGAAATTAAAGTTTCAAACGTGTGACACTCTTTTGGGTCTGCTCACATGGTTATAAAATTTACGTCACATGAAAGATCGAATCTTGAAAAAAATAATTATGTCTTTGTTTCGTTTTTCTTTGTGTCCACTAAGTTTTAAACAAAAGGGACGTTTGGTCGTTGAAATGCCCTTCTTGCATCGAACATTAGTTACCTGTTCTATTTTAATTTAAATGATTAAAGAACTCGAAGTTTAAAAACAAACATTTTAAGCGAAAAGGGCATTTCCGTGAAAATGCCTTTCTTGCACCCAGCCCCTCAGTTATTGATTTGCCGTACGATTGCAATTATTATTGCATAGACGTAGACGGCGTAGAATGATGGCCACCGTTGGTCGCAGAACGGAGAAACGCAACGTATTTACGATTATTTAGTTTTGAATTTTCCCCGATGACCGTAGATCAAACACGGACCGGAAAAAAGTCCGAAAGACCGCCATAGGTGATGACTTCGTTTTGTATTATGCCCTGGCCGTACTAATATTACCACGTCGTCGTTATTCGTATTAAACGGGCACGGGTGGACGGGGGGCGGGATAGTCGGAACGGGTCGAGATTCAAACAATAATAATATTCCGACCGGCGGCGGATTCAGAAATTTTTTAACGTATAATGGGGCACGTTACTATTTATATTTTCAGTAAATCATGCACGTTAAACTAACACGAAATACGTGAATAAAAACCGTAGTCCACTGACACGAGCCCCCCCCCCCCGTGTCCCCCTTGGGATCCGCCACTGATTCCGACCGTCCCGCTGGCCCACGTGTTTCGCCGCATGTTTTCGTTTTGTTTACGCTTTGCGTGTTGTTTGGTTTGCGTAGATAACGGCACCCCCGGCGGGTTTAGTAATGACGGCAGTGGCGGCGGCGGCGGCGGCGTCCCCGGGCCTCAGCAGTCCGGTGGCGTCGGCACGCTGTCGCTGTCGGTCGCCAACGCTACCCCGGCCGGGTCACCCGACCCGTCCAGCCTGACCGTATTGCAGCCGGCCAACAACAATCAGAACAACGGTACGGTTTACGCGGCCGCGGCGCCCGCCATGTTACCCGGTTTCACCACGCACTACGCCACTGCAGGTAAGTGCATACTGCGGAGTAGACGTCGAAAAGTCAGCGCGACCATCGCTCCGCGCCCCGTCCCCCCCATTCCGTAAAAAAAAAAAACATTATTTTTTTTTTTTTTTTAAATAACACGTACTGCGGACCCGATCCGGCCGTGCTCGGCGAGCTGCCGAGTCGGCTGTCCCGTCAAAAACAATACAGCCGCAGTATAGAAAAAGTGAAAACGCCCGCCAGTAGCGTTTCAGGCGAGGGGGAGTTTTGAAACGATTACGCGAGTTCAACTCTCCGTTCGACTCCCGGTCCGTCAAACGATCGTTAGTCAAAACCGATCCGCACCCGGGTACGCATTCGTGTTTACATCCCGTCCGCGCGATGGACCGTAATAAATACCGTGATTTTAATCAACGATAATCGTACTTCGTAACGCGGTCCACGGTAAACCGCAACCCGTCATAATAACATTTTGCGAACATTGTAGCAGTAGTGTCGCTGATGGCGGAATGATATTTTTTTCTGTCCCAAAACACTATGTACGCGCGGAAGCGTATTACGAATCCCCGGGACGCCACAGAGCGCCTCGTCAAACAATACCATATCCTCGCCGATCAACAAATATCCCCGATTAGAATCGAATTATAGGGCACGCAATCGTCGTGCAATCAGTACGAGTCGAGTTCGGTTAGGGCTTGCGGGGAATACGAACCCTCCGGCCCCACGTCCGACACGAGATAAATCGTCGTTCGAAATCGCACAGCAATCATAATCGTTGTGTTAATAGTTTTTTTTTTTTGTTTTTTTTTATTTCAGGCGCGGGCACCGAATACGCGTCATACACGAGTTCGCCATACAATCAGTACACGTCGTCGCCGTACGCAGGATACAGTTACAGCACCACTGGCACCAGCGGTCTTCTCAGTAGGTATTTGGCGTGTACATTTTGGGCTTAAACTCTCGATTGCGGGAACAACGACAGGTCGGGACGGTTCACCGGTCCGCGAAAACGGGGGGGGGAGGTTTCTCGTCGCCCATTTCAATGTCCAAAAGACGAACAAGCGCGAGAACCTCGTCACTAACGACCGTCCGTTTTCTCCGTCCGTCCGGTCCGTCGTACATATAGAGAAACAAAGACATTTCGCATTTTCGCGATCGCGACGAGGTCTGTTATTAAATTGCATTTATTATACACACATTTTATGAAGAAGAGTATTCGCTATGGATCCGACGAATTATTATTATTTTTTTTTTTTCTTAATATTCTCATCGTCATTCGAAGGATCCCTACAGGGATCTTCTCCATAAAATGTAAAATAGATCCCTTTGCCCTAAACTCGGCCGCGTCGCGATAGAGTCGGAACCACGGGCAGGCATTTCCCATTGTACTTCTTTACCGTGCGTGCGTTTTTCGCCCGCACAATCCGTAATTTATTCGGGCCACGTTTGTAAATGCGAGCAACCGGTCAAATGTTTCGTCTTGCCATCGTTACAACACCATCATTAATTATTCCATTCAGATTACGGGGTTACGAACCCCCGTTGACTCCCGAATACATACCAATAGCCCCAATATTTTTTTTTATGTATTTTTATAATATATGCGCGCTCTACACGCATTTTCAAAATCCCATCCCCTTACCCTCCCACCATGTTATCTTGCCCTGGACCCGTCCCCGATTCGACTTCACCGACAACAGTATGTGTAGGAATATGCAACGATTGTAACGAATTTTATTTTCACTCGCAAAGGGCCCGGATATTTTTGATAACCGGTCCGCGTCGTCCGCTCAACATCGGTTATCAATATCATTAGCCCAATCACCGGACCCACGCATTGGCGACGAGTTTACTATACTAACCGCGTGCGTTATCGTTTTTGCAGACCACCGCTACTATTACAACAACAGCAACACCAACAATAACGGCCACAACAACAACGCGCACGAGATCTGCGGCACCGAGTCGGGCAGCAACGCGAGCATGGCGGCCAGATCGCCGGTGGCCGCGACCAGGGCCAACTCGGCGGCGTGCGCCAGCGCCTCGTCGCCGCTGGGCAGCGCGTCGTCGCCGTGCCAGGCCAACAACCCGGGCGCCGTGACGTCACCGTACATCGGGATAAGTTAAGACCATCGGAGTCGCCGACGCCGATCATCAAAACGTTCGAGCGACACGATCGCATTGGACGGCGAAACAGTAATGGCGCCGCGGCAAACAGCGGCGATGCTGCAACGTTATCGTCTGCGTGTGATTGTATAACTGTGTACCTAGGACGCGTATTTAGAAATAATAATTATAATATCGTAGACTATAAATCATTATATAGTTGTAAGCTCGACCGAGTACTACCTGTACAGTGGAATAATTACTTACGTGTATAAATCATCAAAATTATCAATATTGAAATGTTATTATTAACGAATACCATTTTGTTTTTATTATTATTATTATTATTATTATTTCTTTACGTATACGTGCGATGTATAAAAAAAAAAAAAAAAAAAAAAAAAAAATGAATAAAAATAATAATAACAAAATACACGTAACCGAGTACATAATTTACGAACATAAAGAAGTTATACGTTTAGGTTTAGCCAGGTATCGAAAAACACGCAAATATTTTGTATTTTGTATTTAACCATCCCGAAATGTATATTTCTCTCTTGTATTATTTTTTTTTTTTCTTAGTAAACCAAAGATATATTTATAGTGTTGTTATTTGTACAGGATCCAAATTCAATGTGTATTTTTTTAGAGAAAAAAATTGTTTTCACGAAGCGGTTCGCTTATTCGATATTATAATAGTATAATTTCACAATACCTGCCCGCGAGTTATAAAATGTAACGTTGTGTACGTGTAGATGATATGCACTCAATGTACATAAAAACAATTATTAATGTAACAATAGTAATTATGATCACAATTTGTGTCTGAATGTCTTTCGTGAAAATATAATATAATAATGTATCCAACGGTTTGTGTTATTGAAACGTCCGATGATTACTGTTATATCTGCAGTGGTTCGCTGTCATTTACTTTTTAATTAGATCAGGTACAGTTTGTTTGTTTTTTTTTTTTTTTGAACATTGTTTTTCGATCAAATTCTAGTCTAATTTTTATTTTATACGAATAATATTATATCATTATTATTATTATTATTATTATTATTATTATTATTATTATTATTATTATTGTCATTATTATTATTATTCATCAAACGTTTATTGAAAAAAAAAAAAAAAAAACAACAAATAAAAAACACGAAGTAAATATTACAATAATATTGTTTGTGTACGTAACTTTGTCTCTATATATTATACAATAACGAAATTTACTTGTCTTCGTGACGAAACATGTGCAATGTCTGTATGGATCTGTATTTATATTATTATTATTATTTTTTTTTTTTTTTTTTTTTTGTTTTTAACTTAAATATCGAACACACCCTAGTCAATAAGTGATGCTTTAACGCACTAATTAATGCACTTAAGTGATTTTGTATACTTACATTTTCAATTTATAAATCTTTAAAACGTTTTCTTTTTATTTAAAAAAAATAAAAAAAAAAAAAAGTTTACGAAAATATTATGTGAAACATTATCTTTATTATTATACATTTATTTGTTATATTTTTTTATTATTTTTCTTATTTCAATTTAAATATATTGTATTATAATTTATCGTGTAATATATATAATAGGCATTTCATGACTTTTCAAACAGTATATAATTTTTGTATTATGTAATTAATTTATTTTGTATTAGAAACTTGACCAGTTTATATATTATATTATATAACATACTTAATATATTTACCAAAGACATTATTTTAGAAAATCTTGAAATTCGTTTTAATAATAAAAACAATTTATATTATATTATATTAAAAAAAAAAAAAAAACTAGTGTGGATAAAACTGTAAATTATGCATTATTATGATATTATATATATATATCTGTGGTCTCTTAAGTATGACCGAAATTGTACTTAATGGAAATATAAATTGTAAAACAAATTATTACACTTATAAGATAATAAAGAAGTCTGTTTATGAATATTGTTTTTACTTCAATTGAACTATTACTTATTATGGTTAAATAAAATACCTGAACACGTTATACACACACAAACACACTACACTATACACTTTTGTTCAATTTATATTATAATATTATATGTGCATTTTATTATAATTATAATTTTTTTTTTTTTTTTTTAACTAAAACATTTAACTGGTTTGTTACACAAACAACGTCGTAAATATAAGTAGTTTAATAAATGACAATTAATTACATAGCAGTTTTATATCAGTTGTTATATATAAATATAATTGTTTTGAAATACGTTTTAGATTCAATGTCCAACGACAGTTGTAGTCTAATATCTCAAAAAAACGTCTCCATATAAACCCATATAAAACGGTCCCTATTCTTTGTCGACACATAACTTTATATTTAGTGAACAAATCGACTTCTAGTTCATAAGCTAGAATATTACACCATAAATACAACCGAGATTTTAAATTAAGTAGTTTCGTGCAAATCGATTCTATAGAAAGGAAGTTACAAAGCAAAATGTTTAGAATTTTTGGAAACTGCGTTTCGATGATGTATGCGCAATGCGCATAGTGATAGCGGTAGTGACAACGTCTAATGTTTCGTGATTAAAGTTAGTAAAACTAGTCGAGACAAGCATTATGGAAACATTCGTTAAAATAAAAGCGTGAGAAGCTGAAACCGATCCAATAACAGTGAAATCAGGCCTAAGAAAGAGGGACTCTATATCGACTATTTCTATTTAACCAAGAATTAGAGAAAGTTATAAGGGAAACTAATATCGGACCCCAAGAGGGTATGTCACTACACGAATCCACTGTGGTATTTTTGGCATATACAGACTATTTGGTCCTCGTGAATAAATCACACACGGGCCTAAGAACACTATTCGGCCGATTGGTGGAGGCAGCGAAGAAATTGGGTTTGCGAATAAATGAAGGCAAAACGGAAAATATGATAGTAGGGAGGGAGAAGAGATATTACGAGAATGTATTCTTCCTTTAAAGTGGGTAATCATGAATTCAATCGAATCAAACAATTTAAATACCTAGGTTCGGTATTGACCGAAAAAAATGAAACTGAAAAGGAAGAAGCAGCAAGAATCTTGTCGGGAAACAAATATCTCTACAGGCTCGCAAAGATACTGGGGTCACGGTCCCTGTCGAGAGAAATAAAGATACAATTGCAAATCAAACTGTTACACCCTATAATTACATACGGAGCAGAAACGTAGACATTAAGAAAAACGGAAGAAAAGAAACTTACTATTTTGGAATTAAAAATCCTAAGAAAGATCTTTGGTCCAGTAAAAAATGAGGAAACCGTCGTATGGAGAATAAAAAAAACAAGGAATTAGATGATCTCTTCCGAAATCCAAACATATTAAATATAATTCGGAGTAGGAGGTTACAGTAGGTTGGTCACGCCTGGCGTAATCAGAACTCACTATTGCACATGTTGTTGGCATAGAATCCAGAAGGAAAAATACTTCTTGGACGACCCCGTTTAAGATGAGAATTTATGGTTAAGAGAGACGAGATTGGAAAACAAACGCAGCTAACAGAGAGACGAGAGACTTGTAGAATTGGTTGTTTGACGGGGTGGTCCTAGTGACCGTTCATGCCTAAGAAGAAGAAGAAGAAGAAGAAAAAGAATTCAAATTTGCGAATAAACTTACAAGTAAATAACGAAAATACTCAATTCGTGGGAGTACCTCATTAACTGAATTTTGTGAGGAACCCTTGGCCCCGATCTTAAAGGTCGGTTACTTCGAACAAGTTTACTCGATACTCGCTGCTACCGAACTCACTCAATAATGTAATAGCCGCTAGCCATCTACTTAATGCATGTTGAACACTTACTGATTAACCGTAAATGTTGTTGACGATTTTGGCTACTTTCGTCACTACTTGCTGGCTATTTTATTTTCGCTTATTTTATGTTCGAACGCGCGTCTCGTTTACGTGTGTAAAATGTGACTAAACCCATATAAAAGTACATGTTTAATTTTGAACGGTTAATCGCGACGCTCGAATCGCCTAGTGTGCAATACTGAAATGCACTTAATAGTAGCGTAGTAGCCACTAGCTAATAATCAGTACTATTCAATGCTATTCTATGCTTCGTCATGAATTAAAATAGGTTAGGTTATCTAATTCGCCGTGGTATTTGTACGATTTAAAATCGTGGTACAACGCAAATTCGTAGTTCACCGTCACGCTATCTATAATTCTGGTTTAAGTCTTGATTAATTAGGGCCTATAATATTTGTTCCACAAAATACTTGTTCCAATGATTTTAAAATAAAAATAGTCATTGGAACAAATGATTTTGGAAAAAAAGTGTTCAAATATTCGTTCTACGGTATAATTGTACCACAAACCATTTGTTAACATAAATATTCAGACCTATAAACATTTCCAAAATAATTTGTTTCTTAAATGGTTTGTTCCACATTATGTTTTGTGAAACAAAGTATCGCGGAACAAAAGTCCATCGAAAGAAACATTTGCGGAACAGAAGTGTATTGGAATAAATGTTTTTAGAAGAAATACTCACTAATCACAAAATATTTGTTCCAACGTACTTATGTTCTGCAAACATTTGTGTATTTGAAAATTGGGTTCCCCGTGTATTTACGTTGACGGTAAAAACGCCGACCGGTTTATACGCCGACGATATATTTTTTGAACGAGTGAATCAATCGAGCGAATTCTTAATTTCGGTACTATACTGGCGAAATTTGTATTTGTGTGTGTGTGTGTGTGTATGTTCTCCTCTGAGATGGGAAATTGGGCAAAAGGGGGAAGTTTGCTGCGTTGTGACACCAATGATTATTTACAGGGTATCGCGCACAATTTACAGTTTCAAACTATTAAGTAAATAATTTAGTTTATCGAAAACGCTCTGTCTCGATATTGCTTGAATTTCAAATAAATATATTGCTGAATTAATCCCAGACACCCAGCACAAAGACGGACGACAATGTTGTCATTTAACTCTCGAAAGTGCTCTTCTCGGGCAGTCAAACATATACGGGCGTATTTACCGTCGGCGTATTTAACATCGGCGTAAATACATGATACCGAAAATTGTCTTAATGTTTTTCAGTTCCCACAACTCTTGATATGATCTAAAATCTCAACTTCATAATCATTTAATCGAGATAATACGGTATCCGTGTGTTCCTCCTTACCCTCATTAGACTCGATGATCGGTTGCTAAAACCTTACTGGTGGTCGATCAGATTAGAAATCCTGTGTAATGCGATGTGATTTCTCGTAATTCGTAAATTGCATGCATTCGATGACAATTCGATGTAAAAACATTGAAGTCAAGAGTTAATAGGTTACCTACTTGAGTTATATTTCAGAATCAGAGCACAGAGAAGGGTCAAATGGTTTTACTATGATGTAGGTAAGTTATTGAGATTATTATTATTATTTATATAATTAAATAAATAATTGCTTAAAAAAAACCAGACATAAATTGTTAAAAACACTTTTATATAAAAGTCGAGTTGGTTATAAGTATGTAAAGTAAAATTAAGTAAGTAAGTAAAATTCATTGATAATTTTAGGATATTATAACCATAATATAACCATGATGAGTACAATGGAACAAAAGTCCATAGGAAGAAATATTTGCTGATTATAGGTTTGTTGGATCATTGAAATGTTTATGGAACAGATTGTTTGTTGTAGAAATATATTGCTTAACAAATATGTTGTGGCTAATGAACATTTCTTCCAAAATCATTTGTTTCGATGATCATTTATTTCAAAAAAACGCTTTTTCCACGTTTTATTCGTGGAACAAATATCCATTGGAAGAAATTTTCGCGGAACACAGATCTGAAGGAACAACAGTACTGTGGAACAAGTATTTTGTGGGACAAAATGGTTACACCCGATAATTAACCATTGGAATTTAATTTATTAACCGTTAGATGGCGCCACCATACGGTCAGATTCAGGACGTCACCGTTGCTACGAAAGTAAACTGCTACGAACATAATATTATTATACTATTCCGTCGTACACACGATTTAAGATATACTCTCTAAGCGATACTTTAATCGTTTAGATTTAATACGGAATATTTATCCAGAAGACTGGGTGGAGTGGTCCGTCCGAATGGATCAACAGATGTGATAGTGCGAGAGAGAACAATTTTGCATTTCGAGGACGGCTTATTAAAATACTCCGTTTATTGTCTCGTCGTATCATCATAGTATATTTGAAACTATCCAGTCCTAGGAATGAAACTTTAACGACTGAAGCGCATTTTCATGCTGAATTGCTGAATTTTTCGTTTAGATGCACGAGTCTACGGTTATTAATTGGTCATTTAGTTATTGGTTTTTAAATCGTTTAGTGTTACAACAATAACGTTTAAAAGTACTTTTGAAGCCTCGGTGGCTTGGTTTAAAATGGATTTATAAACCATCCAGCTCCGGCTCCCTAAAAAAAAGGGACACACAATTTCCCTGAAATACGTTATATTTGTATTGCTCAATTGGCCACATTGTGCATTGTACCCCCGTTATCAGTGATTTACCGTTGTCCATTGATAATCGAGTTCTTCAAATAATAACAATTCGTAATTGTCAATAATTGTTCGGTTATGTATTTTCTTATTTAAAATTGATAATCGTTTTGCAAACTGAGGTACTGGTTTTTAATTTGTAATTCACCAGTCATTCAATATGGAAGAACATTTCGATGATGAAAAAGATGAATCAAATGTGTGTCGTTTATGTCTCGGCTCCGCCAATGTCACAGTTCACATTGGACATCATTCTGTCAAATCTACATCAATCGTCGAAAAAATTCATTACTGCACTTCTCTAGTGGTACATAGTCATATACTTTAATTATTTATTATTTCTAAAACATTTTTGTATTCTTATATGAAAAAAAAAAAAAACTTAAATGCACTCTTCGTTATTATTTCTTGTTTACATACATTATTGGTTATTAAATACATTAAAATATTTATATCAAATTTTGATTATGTTGGTAGTTATATTGTAGGTTTATGCAGTTCATTTTTAGTATTATGAAACAATTCGCAACTGAGACTTATTGCTTAGTTTGAGATTATAAACCGTGACATCACGGTAGCATTTTGCCATCTCTGTCTTGTACAACAGGTTATATAGAAAATGTGTTTTCAAAGTTTTAGCAGTACTCTGGCTCAAATTGATGCTCGAATAGACTTAACAAAAGTTAATTCACCAAATAAAATACTTATGTGTTTATTAAGTTTTCACTGAGAGATTTTTTTTGATATCTAATTCTCAGACAATTACTAAAGAAGTTTTGAAATTATTATTATTTTTTTTTAATCTTTATATAAGATTATACAAAGTAAATATTAAAAATCTTTGTGTAAACTTAAATAATATCTCTAAGTTGATGATATCATTTTTTTTATCGGTTTTTCGGTTTTAGTCTATTTCAGAGTTAAGAGTACCATTTAAACTCTGAAATACATTTTTATTTTTATAGATTGCCTGTTAGAAAGACTGTGATACAAAATGTATTTGTGAAGTACTCGTAAATGAATACACTACAGAAATTTTAGTAGGTATATATTTTATTAAGATGTATTACTGGATTAGTTTAAACTGCATAATATGTATTTATTGTTATTTTTTTATTATTTCAATGTTTTCAATGTTTTAAATTACATAATTACTTTAGATAAACTGTACTTGATTCAAATTTAGTTGTATACAAATTTTGATTAAAATAAATGATTTTCAGGTAAAAGTAGGTGATGGTTTCCCTCAAAATATTTGTACCACTTGTGCAGACAATTTAGATTTAACATATAATTTTAAAAGTAAAGCAATATCAAGCGATTTGGAATTATCAAAAAATGTGCACAGAGATGCACATTTTACTTACACTCAAGTATCAGATGATCCATTAAATGTAAGTATTATGAAGTATGAATAACATTTATTTGTTTTATTCACATAATATTGTATATTTATTAATGATACAGATATTCCTTGAATTTAACAAAATTATTTTATTTTTATTTTTCTATGATGGAAATTATTCACTGTGAATATTGATTAAATATACTTATATTTGATCAATAAATACCAACTCAGATGATCAAAAAGATAAAAAAATAATGTTGTTTATAGGGATAACATTAACTTATTGATATCTGAAAGAAATATAGTTAAATTTTAGACATTTCAAAATGTAACATTTAGTTTTATTATGTTTATTGATTTTAAAAAAAAAAATATATACTTGTTGAGAAATAGTTTTTCAAATAACAAAAGAAAATGAATTTGTTAGTGTAGTTGTAAATGTTAATAATAAACAAAAATTATATTTTTATAAAATTTGAAATATTATTGCTGTACAACCTAACCATACAGTTCATTGATATAAATTTGATATAAATAATATTATTGGTGTAATCTAATAATAACTATGTGTAAAAAATATAATATAATATATGAAATTTAAGTTCAGAAAATGTATAATTACACAAAGTGAATTTAATTTTTAGATGACGTATAAGCTAGACTTGGAAGATCAAGATACTTCAAAAGATTTAGTTGATAGTTGCGTATATAACATAGTTGACGGTGATGAACTGCAAATTGAACAAGTTAATATTACAACTGATGAACCTAAAAGTCTATTGACAATGCTTACAAAACCTATTAATGACAATGAAAGTACAATTTCAGTTATTATAAATAATGAATCTCAAACTTCAAAAGTCATCATAAATGAATCAAATGATGATTTGAATAAATGTTATGATACTTCTGCTAATAATGTATGTATATTATTTTACATAATAATAAATATTTTATTTAAGTTTGCCATGTTTATTTGTTTTAGAAAATGAAAAATGTAGCAGCTGATATTAAACGAAATCAAATTAAGACCTCATTGAACGATGAAAATATAAAATCAAAAAAAAAAAAAACTGATAATAATGCAGACAATGACAAACCGCTGCTCATTGTAAAAAATGGTAAAGTTGTATACATTTGCAACATATGTGATTATGAAGCAGACTCTATGGCATTCTTACTTAGCCATCGAACTCGTACGCATTTTGATACTGGTAGTTTCAAATGTACTGAGTGCCTTACTTATCACAAAACTGCTGGATTGCTAAAGCGACATATGTCATTATACCATGATGTTACTCATGTCTGTAAATATTGTGATAAACGATTTGCAAGCAAACTAAGTCTTGATCGCCATGTAAATTGCACTCATAATATTACTCCATTAGAGTTTCAATGTGTCAAATGTAATGCTTATTTTGATACCATAGACAAAATGGAAAACCATTTAGTAGTGCACTATATAAATCATTCAAGTACCTTTAGCTGTAATCACTGTGATCGTAAATTTTCTACATATGCGGCAAAAAATAAACATATCGATCTTGAACACATGGTTGAAATTGAATGTGATATTTGTCATGTAGTGTTACCAAATAAAGAAGCCATGGATAAACACACTATTTCTGTACATCCACCGAAAAAAAAAGGAAATCAAATGTATGCGTGCACAACTTGTGGACAATATTTTTCTTCCATTAAAGATATTTTAATTCATAGAGAAACTCATACATCTAAATAAAGTAAAAGTCTACATGATTTATGAAACTGTTTATTTTTTTACACTATGACTGAATTGTTTACATTTTTAATGTTACAGATAAAATATTATATCTAGGACAATCAATAAAAATATGCAAAAGCATATAAATTTCTGCCATTGTTATAACTTATAACTGTATGAAATAACTCAATTTAGGACAAGTCTCCATTTTACTATTACTGTTTTGCTATTACTATTTCCACATAAGTACATAACACCTTAAAAAAAAAAAAAAACCCTATAAAAAACAAATTATCTATTGCACTATCTACTACTCATCTTACGTTAATAAAATTATATTTTCTTATAAAGCTGTAATATTCTACCTTTATACTGTAATAATAAAAATTAATTGTTTATTACTATACTTTGTACCACAAGAGAATGCATACAGCAGCGGACCAAAACTCATATATTTCCGTGCATTCCTACTACAAAACAACAACGCGTTTGACAACAGAGAGCGAACATTTGGATACGAGAATCATATGTGTTCTCTTGTGGTACGGAGTATAGGGTTTGGTACTTGTTACAGTATAAATGATCGGAATATGTAGCAAAATCCTCAAAATATGCTTAAAAAGCTGCAAGTAATTTTTATTTTATTTTTGAAAAAAATGCATAAAACAGATTATAATTATATAAATAAAAATCACAAAATTAAATAGTTACATAATAAAAAATCTCAATAACAGAAACGAATGAACACGTACTGATTTTAATTTTGCCGTACAATTTAGAATCTAAATATCATTAGGTTTTACCACAACTATACAATTGTCAATATTGTCGATAACAATGTTGATTATTAACTGATAAAAATAAAGAAACGCACCTATCCAAAGTAATTTATTAAAAGAAATATATTTTAGTGTTATACAAATATGATTTTCACGACAATTTTTGGTATATAAAATATTCACTTTTTCTAAAATATACGAAAATATGCAAATTTAAACTTTGTATTAGATTTCAGCATTTCATGAAACAAATTTATTGTTAACCTAGAAGAAACTACGACCACTAAAAAAAACTTGCAAATTCAAGAAGTCTCGAACCATATATATTATAATATTTTGTTGTGCATTTATACAGGGTGTCTCATGAAGATAGATCCATTGTTATATCTCATTATCAAATTCTGTTTTTTTTTTTTATTACTCGCAGAGATAAAGACTACAAATATTTATATTGTTATTAAATTTTTATGTTTTGGTAAAAAATAACTCTATTGTACTATATTTGAAAAATTTTAACATTTTTTTAGTTTTTTTGACTTGCTAAATTTTTATTTTCATAAAAATTGTAATTTAAAAAAAAAAAATAAAGTTTAGAGAAAAGAAGTATACAATCAGTTAAACATCAGCCAAATAATCAATTAGCTAATGCAATTATAGTCTATTGCTTAATTATGACCACTTTTCTTTGAACTTAAAAAATGTATTAAAAATCACAAATTGAATGAAAATAAAAAGTTCTTATGTCAAAATTAACAAAAAAATAACCCCTGTAAAATGGCTATCTTCAAATTTTTTGAAAATAATAAAATAAGTTATTTTTTAAATTAGTTACCAAAAAGTAAAAAAGGTAATTGCAATATAAATATTTGTAGTCCATGTCCCTATGAGTAATATAAAAAAGAATAAAAACAGAATTTGATTATCTTTATTATTTTAAGAGGTATTAAAATGAGTATATCTTCGTGGGACACACTGTATGTGTCGTCTGTGCATGCCTACTGCATGGAAATATTACATATATTTATGTATACAAAATATGATTTTTCACCACAAACCGAGATTATAAATAAAAAAATTATAATATAATTTGTCATTGCATATGAATTCCACTGTTGTATATAAAAATAAGAATATAACTATTAACGTAATGCTATATTTTGTGTAATTCCTCGTAAAAAATGATTGATTGCAAACACTACATTATACGCACAGTCTTCATACATATCTTCACTCTATATATAAATAGAGTACTTTTTTTTTTTTTTTTTTGTCAGAGAAGTTATTTAATGTCAAAATGGTGACAGTAAAATCTTAAATTCAAACTCTTTTACTTTTAATCCAAAAAAATCAAAAATATATTGATACATTAAACAAACAATATAATTATTACTATTATTATTGTATCTAGTTATTTGATTTCAATGATCATTTTAGGGTCAATTAAATTATAAATTACTTACATAAGTTTACATATGTATGTATATTTTTTTTTTTTTTGATATGCAAGTCTAGATACACAATATCCAATTTAAATATTTTCTTCAATGACAAAATCCTAACTACTAATCAAATTTGTGGGTTTTTTGTTTTTAAAGTACTATTTAGGTATACAAAATAAAATGACAAAAAAGTTGTTTGGGAGAAAAATCAGGTACTGTGCAATTCAAAATGTCACAACTACTCTCCGTGCACAAATAAATATATAATAATACTTATAGTAGTAATAGAGTATAATTTATTATTATATTAAATATAATTTTTTATGAATTAAATTTTATATTTAAATGTATTTTATAATCTCAACAGAAATCAAATTGTATGTATAATAACTAGATATCCCATAACTGGTTAATTACATGATAAAATTAAAAATAATAAAATAATAATTATATCGCGGTTAATTTTAACTAGTTTAAGAAATATATTTTTATTCCATACACATATTATTATCTTACACTCAATCTGAAACTTGTAGATTAGTCACAATAATATAAGCTACCCAGGTCCTATTTTCAATCTCTATTGATTATAGTTTTTTGCAAATAAACGCAATAGATAAAATAAAACACGTGTATCACACAATTAAGAGTTTTACATTAAACTATCCATGTTTAATTATTATTATTCAATTATTTTAAGAGCATTTTTAAATAGTATTGTTATTATTTTTTTAATGTGAACACGTGATAGCTACTTACAGTGTACATATCTATTTTACCCGTACAATTCTATTGATCGTATGGGTAAAATAAACTTATAGTTATGAAACGCTAGATTATAAAAATTAACGGCTAAACATTGATGGAAACCATGTTAATCAAAGTCCTATATTTACTTTACCGGGAATATTATCAATAATTTCTGTAGCTAAGTAATATTTAAAACGCATTGTATATTTTATCGTTTACAATGATAATAATTTATTTTATTTTGTCTTTTTAAATGTATGTTTTCCCAGCAATGTTTGTGTCTAGTGTTAACACCAGACATGAACACGGTCATGGTTGTGCTGTTCCACTGTCTGACACTGCGGGGAAAACTTACCTTATGGAAACACTGTTATTTATATAAGTAATTGTTAATCGCTAATTATTGAAACTATTGTTTGTCGGTTATGTTCACAATAACTTCATCAAAATAATATTTATGATATTTGTAATAATTACATTTCAGATGTCAATGATTATAAATTCTTTAAAACATACAATTGTATGCTTGCTTGATAATTTATTAAATATGATCTTTTTTTCCACAAGTACATTGTCGATGTCGCGTAAAAAGTGACCAAGTATTTAAATGTTTTTTTTTTCAACCCTGTATAATGTACAGCAAAAGTGAAAGTGATATTATAAAGTAGTAAGTAGGTATAAACTACTTAATACATAATTCTTGAATACAATTGTAAATTGAAAAAAAAATACATTATTTTTATAATTTAGTCACTTCTAACTTAATGGCGGTTAGGTATGGCTGTTTGGAAATCAATGTAAATAATAAATACCTTCCTATGCATAATACGAAATACAAAAAAAAAAAAAAAAAACATTTTACATACTTAGTTAAATACTAACATACGCAATTTAAATAATTGAACTACACTAAATTATAATAATTTTACTAATGTTTTTGAATTTTAAAAGAACGTTGATAATGTAGGTATCAAAATGTTATCATAGTTCGATAAAGACCACTCCACGTCTGCTTAGTTAATGGTACAGAAATCGAAATTGGTTTATGTATAATCGCCTGGTTTTGATATTGAAAATATTTAAAAATTAAATCACTATATCACCCAAGTCCATGTATATAATTGGATAGTTGGAGGAGTGTTTAATTTTTTTTTTACTATAATTAAAACAAATAGGTAGGCATTATTACTTGGATCTAGATAAGAAAAAAACCACAAACAAAAATGTATGTATTTTTTTTTATTAAGTATTCAGTTTATTAACATAAAATGTAAGTATTTTCATAGTTTTTTCTATTTTCAAAGACGACAAATTAAAATATTTATTCGGCTTTACCTATGTTATAAGTTGTGACTAGTACATAAATGTTATAGGGCAAGTTCTTATGTACGCGACTACGCAGTTTACGTACATGTTACATTTATTTATTTATTTTTATCAACTAATAGCAACCTACACTTCGTACATTTTCCTGGTTTTTCTAATGTTTTGGGAAAACTGAGAAAATCGAAAAATTACTTCTTTAAAGTAGGTACCTCCCCAGTCAGATTTTCTTTCAGAAAAGTTGCTACACTTCAAAATTAGACATAGATATTCGGTAGGAAACTTGTCCACAGATAAAAAAAAAAAAAACCTAGTAAAACCACGAGCTTCTTCGCTCCAATTAGAATCCAAAATGTTATCATCATGAACACTGTGTACGAGAAAGAACGACGATCTGTGCAAATAAAGGCGATCCGAATTCGGTTCTTAGGTCAGTAGTGATGTCAATTTTACATGTAAAGCATAGGGAATTTATTGGTTTTTTTTATTATTATAATCTAAATGGTGAAACTAATGAAGAGTTACTGTTGTATTTTTCTTAAGATCAAATTGTCCTCGATCGAATAATAATAATTATAATAATAGATATATTTACAAGTATATACGAATTTTAGGCTAAGACATAATTGTTTCGAATTTCATGACCTATCAATGACCCAACCTATCAATAATATAATATCAATAAATTTATGTTAAATAACAAATATCGCAGATCACAAAAACGATCACATTATTACAATCACAAAACAGAGTATAATATATATTTAATCAATCAACGATACCAAACATTCACATCAAGATCAAGTATTGAAGACACGATTTAAGATAGTACCTATCTATCTTTGATATAAATGGAGTTTAGCCACCACACAGTTTTTGCAAATCATTAGTTTTTGAATTACAGTAATTTGAAATTCGAGTTTTTGATAATTTGGTTAAATAGGTAATTTGGTACAAGTTTGTAGCGTTTCATATGTGACGCAGTGGTTATAACGCGGATTCGTCGTGAGAGGGTTCGCGTTCGATTCCATCTGACGCGCTCCTACTTTTTTTTCGATTTTTCAAATTATTTATTTTGAAAATATGACACTGATGAATGCATATTATAAATTATAATATTTGTATTTATTATTTTATCAAAGTACCTATTTTATTTTTATACACCTTAAACCGCCTAATTAATTAGAATAAACTTTTTTATGCATTTAAAATTAAAAAAGAATAAATGAAAAATTATTACAAACACACATTTTTTCGAAATGTGTATAATAGTTGTTTACAAACAGTTGCACACTAAAAATGTATTTATTGAAGGTATGTAAAGTTCACTATAAACATTTTTGTAAAAATTATCTCAAAATCGGTACAAGTTTCATACGGTTATAATCATTTTATAAAAAGCTATTATGATATTTCGAAAAACTCCCGAAGTTGCCAATTTGAACACTTAGGCTTGAGCAGTTTGCAACTAATAATATTTTTCAACTATTATCTGTGTTTGAAATCCAACAACCATGACCTTTTTATCCCGGTTAACCGACTGCTGCAGTGTCGGTTCTGTAATCCTTGCGCCCTTATCCATACGACCCCTCTATCGACCGATCGATCCTTAAATATATTTGTTAATTTATTTGACTCGACGTTTTACACGGCATATTTACCTAATAAACCATAATAAAGGAGTATTATTTTGACGTTATATTATTCATAATAATTTGTTTCGATACACGTTATAAATAATTAAAATTACAAAAAAAAAAAAAACAACCTTTGCTATACTTTCAAAATCTAAAAATGGAATAACCTTTTATAATAATAAT